TACATAACCGATCTTATCTCTAAATATCACCCAAACCTCACACTCCTCGCAAGACCTCCTACTCTCTAGCTCTCTTGTCTGCTCCTCCCATGCTCGTCTCCAAGACTTCTCCAGGGCATCACCCGTCCTCTGGAACTCGCTACCCCAATCTATCAGACTCTCACCTACTCTACTTGCCTTTAGGCAATCACTGAAAACCTATCTCTTCAGGGAAGCCTATCCTGCCCTCTGCTAATACTGGTATCCTCTACTCTTCCAACCACTCCATCCCCCACAGTTACTACCTACTGTACCATTCACCCCTCCCTCCTAGATTGTAAGCTCCAAGGAGCAGGGCCCTCAAATCCCTCTTGTATTGTTACTGTATTGTCTCCCACTATAAAGTAAAGCGCTGAGCAAACCGTTGGCGCTATATAAATCCTGTATAATAATAATACTTTTAACTGATTGGGGGGAATGCTTTTTGCGTCAACTTCCTCTGTTTTTTTTTTTGTAATTCTTTTATTTTCACAAGTCAAATAGAGTACAAACAAATGTTTGTTCACAAGTGGACACTCAGATAATTCAATCACATATGAGTTAGGCAAGACTGTAGAGCTATAACAGACAAACAGTAGAACAGCTCCCAGTGGTTCATTATGTATCCACGAACCTGGGCCACACGAGCTCCAGAACATGTCACGTGGGTACCCAACTATAAAGACTAACCGGAGAATCCAAGATAGCATGCTCTTCTTGTATACGTCGGTGGCTTTGTGGACACCGCAAGGATAAAACATGGCACATAAAGCCAATAGTTGGGAGTTCCCAAATGGGGGAGGAGGTAAAGATAGTGAGTAAGAGAGAGAAAGAGGGGGAAGAAAAGAGAGAAAGGCGAATAGGAAGAGAAGGAAAGCGTAGTCGTCCATCTCACAGCACAGGACACAGCAAGACTGGCTCACTGGGAAGCGAGCAATTTGTTTAGGTAGGAGTCAGTGTACACAAAATAGTTCCATGGCCTCCATGTTTCGGTGTAGGACTCTTGCATATTGGTGGCCATAAGTTCCTCCATACCCCGGAGAACATTGACTCTAGCAAACCAAAGAGCCTTCAAAGGAGAGTCAGTGCACCTCCAGTAGATTGGAATACAGGCCTTAGCTGCATTAAGGAGCTGAATCATCAGGGAGGATTTGTACATTTTGATAGGTCTCTCCATCAAGTGTAACAGGCAGGCCGCCAGGTTGTCATGCAGATCCACCGCAGTAAGCTGTTTGATAACTGGAGTTACATCAACCGAAACGACTGGATTCCTGGACACGACTAGAAAATATGAAGCATGGCCTCGCCCTCAGCACCACAATACCAGCACGTTTCTGGGATCTGAGGAGAGATACAGTGGAGTTGGGTGGAAACCTGTACCATCTGGTAAGGATCTTGCAACTAGATTCTTGGACCCTCATGGCTATGGAGGACTTTTCATTGAAGTGAAGGATTTTAATCCTCTGGCTGGAAGTGAATCTCGTACCAAGCTCAGATTTCCATTTTGTGAGAAAGGAAGGTGTGTAATCCTCGCCAGGGTGCGTTAGAGTAACATAGAGAAAATAAAGGGAGCGGACCGGTTCCCCCCTATGACATATCGTTTCAAATCCAGTTAGAGGGCGATTTAAAGCTGACAGAGGAAGTGTCACAACTGTAGTCCACCCCAGAGGTCTGAGAGGTCAACCAGGAGAGTAAGATCTGTGGCAATCAACCGCTCTTCTGATGTTAAATAGTCAGATATATGGGAGTAACCTTGAGCTTGGATGCGGTGGAATTTCCGCTTTTGGAGGCCAGAAATAAAGTCCAGGTTGCCCACAATAGGAATCATAGGTGAGGGAAGTGGAGAAGCTGTAGTAGCCCAAAACTTTGCCCATGCTACCCAGAGAGGGCTACCAAGAGTGGGATGTGTACACAACTTCTTAGGAAGCGGGGACGTGATCCAAGGCCAACTCCTTGCGGTACCTTCAGAGTCCTCCATCTCTATGACAATGCCAGTAGATTACCCAGGCGAGGTGCGCAGCCTTATAGTAAGTTTGAATGTCCGGGAGGGCCAGTTCCCCCAGACGATTTAGGCAAGGAGAGACTCTGCAATTTCTGCCGTGATCTCGTACGGGACCAAATAAAATTCCAAAACTGGGCACCGATGTTCCGGAAAAAAAAAAAAAAAAAAGAGGGAGGCAAGCAAATGGGAAGAGCTTGTAATAAATAAGAAGGAAGTATAGTCATTTTAAGGGCATTGCAGCGGCTGAACCAAGTTAGCTTAGAAAGGAGAGGTTCCAGATTTGCCAAGTAGAGCTTGGCAGGGTCTGGGGCAATGTTCGTCCCTAGGTATCCGATCACTTCGTGTGTCCATTTAAAAGGAAAAGAGGGCCGTAAGCTACAAACAGTTTCCAGATCCGTAGAGATGTTTAAGGCAGATGACCCTTCCCAGGTTGATTTTAAAATGTGACAACTCCCAATATCCCTTCAGGGACTGAAGGATTTTTGGTAAAGAGGTAAGCGGGTCAGAAAAAAAGTCAAGTTGTTGGCAAAGGCCACCACCTTGTGCATCCCAGAAGACTTTTGATAACTCGGTATACTGGGGTTAGCATGCACCTTGCATAAAAAGTGCTCCAGTGTGAGGATGAATATAATAGGGGAGAGGGGACACCCCTGTCTCCTTACATTCAAGATTGGAAAGAGGTCTCATTGACTTTGATAGCAGCAAAGGGTGAAGTCCCAAAATCCACCGCAACATGGAGGGCCCAAGGCTTATGTATTCCATAGTCTCCTGAATAAAGGAACAATGGACCCTATCAAATGTTTTGTCCATGTGCTCCTCTGAGCTTTTTAATGGAGAAAAGGAAAATTGATAAAAAAAAAAAAAGTAATGGAGAAGAGAGAAGAGAAAGAAAAGAAATAAATATTAGGATAAATGAAAGAAAAGAAAAAGGAAAAGGTAAAGAAAATTAGGATAAATGAATATAAGAGAAGAGGGAAAAGGGAACAAGGAAAGGAAAAGGAAAAGAGAAAGGCAAGGCAAGGAAAGGAAAGGAAAGGAAAGGAAGGGAAGGGAAGGGAAAGGAAAGGAAAAGGAAAAGAGAAAGGCAAGGCAAGGAAAGGAAAGGAAAGGAAAGGAAAGGAAGGGAAGGGAAGGGAAGGGAAGGGAAAGGAAAGGAAAAGAGAAAGGCAAGGCAAGGAAAGGAAAGGAAAGGAAAGGAAAAGGAAAGGAAAGGAAAGGAAGGGAAGGGAAGGGAAAGGAAAGGAAAGGAGAAAGGCAAGGCAAGGAAAGGAAAGGAAAGGAAAGGAAGGGAAGGGAAGGGAAGGGAAAGGAAAGGAAAGGAAAGGAAAAGAGAAAGGCAAGGCAAGGAAAGGAAAGGAAAGGAAAGGAAAAGGAAAGGAAAGGAAAGAAAGAAAAGAGAAAGGCAAGGAAAGGAAAGGAAAGGAAAGGAAAGGAAGGGGGAAGGGAAGGGAAGGGAAAGGAAAGGAAAGGAAAGTAAAAGAGAAAGGCAAGGCAAGGAAAGGAAAGGAAAGAAAGAAAGGAAGGGAAGGGAAGGGAAGGGAAGGGAAAGGAAAGGAAAGGAAAGGAAAGGAAAAGAGAAAGGCAAGGCAAGGAAAGGAAAGGAAAGGAAAAGGAAAGGAAAGGAAAGGAAAGGAAAAGAGAAAGGCAAGGAAAGAAAGGAAAGGAAAGGAAAGGAAAAAAGGAAAAAAAAGAAAGGGAAGGAAAGGAAAGGAAAGACGAAGAAGTAAGGAAAGAAACAGAAAAGAAAAGGAAAGGTAAATAAAAATAAAAAGAAAAGAAAAAAGGAAAAGGGAAAGCAAAGGAATGGAAAAGGAAAGAAAAGAAAAAGTTAGGATTAATGAAAATAAGAGAAGAGGGAAAAAGGAACAAAAAAAGGAAAGGAAAGGGAAAGGAAAGGAAAGAAAAGGTAGAGAGAAAGGAAAGGAAATGAGAGGAGATGAAAGGAAAGGAATGGAAAGGAAAGGAAAGGAAAGGAAGTTAGGATAAATTAAAATAAGAGAAGAGGGATAAGGAAAGGAGAGACAAAGAAGAAAAATAAAAATAAAAAGGAAAAAAAGGAAAGGGAAGGGAAAGGAAAAGAAAAGAAAGGAAAGGGAAGGAAAGGAAAGGAAAGGAAGGAGAGACGAAGAAGGAGAAGTAAGGAAAGAAAAGGAAAGGTAAATAAAAATAAAAAGGAAAGGAAAAGGGAAAGGAAAGGAAAAGAAAAGGAAAGAAAAGAAAAGAAAAGAAAAAGGGAAATGAAATTAGGATAAATGAAAATAAGAGAAGAGGGAAAAAAGGAACAAGGAAAGGAAAGGAAAGAAGAAAGGGAAAGGAATAAGACTACAGAAAAGGCAGAAAAGATGTAATATCATTACATTGGTGGCGGATCCAAAAATATAAATATCTGCATCCAAGTCAGAGAAACTTTTCTTATTTCCTGACTGGGATTACAGGATCCATGGTAAGGTATAGCTATTGCAGTCCTCCAACCACACAGAGTCCATCTGGTCAATATTACTTGTACGCTTGACTTATAGTTTGTGTTTTATTCTTGTCTCTGCTGGTGAAGAATCAGCCACGTCAGACCTGAACTCAGCTCATCTGTGACCGCATATGGATCCACATGTTCTCCTACACCTTACAGTGGAATGCTACTGTAGCGCCATCTAGTGAGCATATTCTAAAACTGCACTGATATTTGTGAAGCCCTTACTGAAAAGGAATATCTAGACTGCAATTACGATCCTGCTTCTGAATATGCTAGGTGTGCCACCCATGGTTATCCTCTGGCTTCAAAACTCTGAAAGTCATCTGTAACAATCTGAAAAAACAGCGAGTTACTGGATAACTCAAGTGAAGTGTACACTTTTTCAAGGTTGGGGGCTCAGAAAGTGATGAGGCATTTTTAGAGGTCGCCTTTAAGGGCCATTACACGCCATAGAAATGCAGTCCACATGTGTTTCTGCATGTGTGTTTTGATGTGGTCCGGTGTGGTTTTGATGCTTTCCGGTTCATTTTTCCTCTCTCTTTTTCTTCAATTCAAATAGGGACATGTGAATTCCAGTGCATTTGTGGTGCGTTCCATTGCATTCTAGTGCATTTTATATGTGTTAACCACGTTCCAGTACAGTTCTGTGCAGGAAAAATGCAGCATGTTCTACTTTTTTTTCTGCAACCAGAATGCACTGGAACTGCAAGCTCTGATGTGAACTATGACATTGACAACCATATCACCTACTTTCTGTGAGTTTTGGATGCAGAAAAAAAAGTATACTTAAATGCATGTAGTGGGAAATGGCCCTAAATCACTGAAAAGGAAAGTAGAAAGGACAAAAGAATAGAGAAAAGAAATGAAATAAGAGAAAGGGAGAGGATAAGAAAGGCACATAGAAAAGAAAGGAGAATAAAAAAAAGAAAGGAGAGTATAGAAGAGGAAAGGAGAAAGGAAAAGAGAGGAAGAGAACAGAAAGGAGAAAAGAAAGGAGAGGATAGGAGAAAGAAAAAGAGAGGAACATATTGGAAAGGAGAAAAGAAAGAAGGGGAAAGGAAAGAAGAAAAGAAAGGAGTGAAAAGTAAAGACATAGAAGAAAGAAAGGAATGTATGGAGAGGAGAGAACAAGAGAAAGGAAAGAAGGGGAAAGGAAAGCAGAGGAAAGGAGGAAGGAAAAGAGAAGAGAGGAAAGGAAAAAGAAAATTAGAGGAGAAAAAAAGGAGAAAGGGAATAGGACATGAGAGGAAAGGAGAAAGGAAAAGAGAAGAGAGGAAAGGAAAAATAAAAATGAGAGGAGAAGAAAAGAGAAACGGAACGAGGATATGATATGAGAGGAAAACAGAAAGGAAAAGAGAAGAGAAGATAGGAAAAAGAAAGTTAGAGGAGAAAAAAGAGGGATAGGAGGAAGAAAAAAAAAAAAAGAGGAAAGGAAAAAGAAAATGAAAGGAGAAGAAAAGAGAAAGGAAAGGGGATATGATATCAGAGGAAAGGAGAAAGAAAAGGGGATAGGACATGAGAGGAGAGGAGGAAGGAAAAAAAAAGAAAAGAGAAGAAAGGAAAAAGAAAGTGAGAGAAAAAAGGAAAAAAAATAAAGGGATAGGACATAAGATGAAAAGAAAAAAACTAAAAGGGGATAGGACATGAGAGGAAAGGAGAAAGGAAAAAGAGAATTGAGGAAGATGAAGAAAAAAGAAAATGAGAGAGGAGGAGAAAGAATGAGGATATGATACAAGAAGAAAGGAGAAAAGAAAAAGAGAAGAGAAGATAGGAAAAAGAAAGTGAGAGGAGAAGAAAAGAGAAAGGAAAGGGGATAGGACATAGGAGGAAAGTAGAAAAGAAAGGGAATAGGACATGAAAGGAAAGGAGGAAGGAAAACAGAAGAGAGGAAAGGAAAATGAAAATGAGAGAAGAGAAGAAAAGAGAAAGGAAAGGGAATATGATATTAGAGGAAAGGTGAAAGGAAAGGAAAAGAGCAGAGAAGAAAGGAAAAAAGAAAGTGAGAGGAGAGAAAAGGAGAAAAGAAGAGGGATAGGACATGAGAGAAAAGGAGAAAAGGGGAGAGAAGAAAGGAAAAAGAAAATGAGAGGAGAAAAAAGGAGAAAGGAATGGGGATATGATACAAGAGGAAAAAAGAAAGGAAAAGAGAATAGAAGCAAGGAACAAGAAAGTGAGAGGAGAAAAGGAGGAGAAAAGAAAAGAGATAGGACATGAGAGGAAAGGAGAAAAGAAAAGAGATAGGACATGAGAGGAAAGGAGAAAAGAAAAGGGATAGGACATGAGAGGAAAGGAGAAAAGAAAAGGGATAGGACATGAGAGGAGAGGAGGAAAGAAAAGAGAAGAGAGGAAAGGAAAAAGAAAATGAGAGGAGATGAAAGGAGAAAGGAAAGGGGATAGGACATGAGAGGAAAGGAGAAAGGAAATCATAGGAAAGGAAATATCACCCCATGGGATCTAGAGAATACTCTACCTGTGCAGCCTTGAAGAAAAGGAGTACAGAGAAAAGATACAGTGTGACCAGAATTTCCTCTAATCAGAAATCTCCTTTCTGATTACAATCACCAGGGCTTATATCATTTAGACATCCCTGGTCACAGCACCGACTCTCCTTTAATATCGGCATTATATTAGCGATACAAACAATTGTTAGATTTGACAATCCAATATAAACTTACTTGAAAAATCTCCTTTCATGTTCTTCCTGTCTGCCAGTTGTCTCTTTCCACAATGTCCTGCACGCTGTTGCAGCTTCTCCTCACTTTCTAAGGACTACATATCCCATGGTACCTTGCTACTTCCAAGCAGCGATTCCTGTACTGACACAGCAGTACTACTCACAGGACGGAGGGACTACGTGTCACAGAACTCAAGGAAATAAATTAAATTCAAGATCATTTTACTTATGGGGGCTCATGTTGGAGGGTGAGATATCCTAGTGGTGGGTGCAATCAGAAAGGTAGAAATAAGGTCGAGAGAAGAGTTTTTTCTATCTTATGGAGGGCCATGTCGGAGGGTGAGATACATCGGTTGGTGGGTGTAACCAGATAGGTAGAGGGAAGGTCAAGAGAAGAGTATTTTCGATCTTATGAGGGACCATGTTGGAGGGTGAGATATCCTGGTGGTGGGTGTAATCAGATAGGTAGAGAGAAGGTCAAGAGAAGAGTATTTTCAATCTTATGGGGGGCCATGTTGGAGGGTGTGATATCCCTGTGGTGGGTGTAATCAGAAAGGTAGAAATTGTTGGGTTTGTGTTAGAGAAGACACTGGTAGCTTGTGATGAGGCAGAAGAGAGAGGAGAGAGAACCAACAAGTTTTACACATATGCACAACTAGTAACCTTAGTGTACAATGCCATCTACTGGTCAAGTGATATTAACACACAATACTATATAGTACATGCTGTTGTATTCCCAACACAAATAAGGTCAAGAGAAGAGTTTTTTTATCTTATGGGGGACCATGTTGGAGGGTGAGATATCCTGGTGTTGGGTGTAACCAGATAAGTAGAGAGAAGGTCAAGAGAAGAGTATTTTCAATCTTATGGAGGGCCATGTTGGAGGGTGAGATATCCTGGTGGTGGGTGTAACCAGATAGGTAGAGAGAAGGTCAAGAGAAGAGTATTTTCAATCTTATGGAGGGCCATGTTGGAGGGTGTGATATCCCGGTTAGTGGGTGTAATCAGATAGGTAGAGAGGAGGTCAAGAGCAGAGTGTTTTCTACCTTATGAAGGGCCATTTTGGATGGTGTGTTATCTCGGTGGTGAGCATAATCAGAAAGGTAGAGAGGAGATCAAGAGAAGCATTTTTTCTACCTTATGGAGGGAGGGTCATGTTGGACAGTGTGATATCCCAGAGGTGAGCATAGTCATAAAGGTAGAGAGAAGAAACGAGAAAAGAAAAGAAAAGAAAAAAGAAAAGGGAAATTGTTGGTGGATCAGAAAATATGAATGTCCACATCCAAGTGACAGAACCTGAATGTCGGAACGTGAAATCGTAGTGAGAACATAATTCCCGGCTAACTCTAAATTGATGACCTGTAGAGATTTTTTAAGTGTTGCCTATGAAGAATTTTGGTACTTTTTTTTTTTGCGATCTCACGAGCATGTGCAGTTTGAAAGCTTGACATGTTTGGTATCTATGGAACGCAATTTCATCTTTTATATTTCTCCAAACACTGAGTGTATTATTGTGTTTGTTTGAGCTAAAATTAATTGAAGTGTTTTTTTTTTTCCCCCGAAAGTATGCATTTGACAAATAGTCATGTAAGTATCATGCAGCACAAACCATTGTAGCTACCACCATTTTATTGTCTAGGGTCTTTGTTGTTTTTGGGTTTTGCTTTCAGGAAATAAATTCTTTTTTGGGGGTTAAAGTTATTTCTAGGAAAATAATTGCAGATTTTAACATGTGTGCGAAAAATTAAAAAAAGTTGCCAGGTAGCCAATAAAAACATAATAATGAAAAATCTAATTATAAGCGAAAGACAGTCGAGGTCTGTCCCGAGTCATGACCCCCACCCACAACACTCCCAAAGCTGCCTGTTCAGTGAATACTCATAGAACTGTATGAAGCAGAGGTGGCTATTTAACTAGGCAAATTAGGTGGTTGCCTAAGGGCTTGCACTCCCAGGGGCCTCAGGGGCCACCTAATTTGCCTAACACCAGGGCTTTTTTTCTGTCAGAATGCCAAACACAGCCAGGGAAAAAGAACAATTTGTGACTTAACAGGGGGTGGTTAGCAGAGCAGCCAAAAATTGAGCTGGTGGCCACATAAGCCGACCATATGGCTACGGTAGTTCCGGCTGTGCCGCTGCAGCCTGAGAGAGTGGAAGGCAGAGTGATATAATTCACACTCTGCCTCTACCTGCAGACCAGATGCTCCTTTTGGTGGCAGCCACACTTGGAGCTGTGTCAGTGCGATGCATGTAGGCTGTAGCCTGGCTGCTCAATGCTCACTGTGCTGCACTACTGTAGAAACAGCAAGTGGAGAGAAGTTGTACAGCGCTGAGCAAACCTTTTTGGCGCTATATAAATCCTGTATAATAATAATAATAAAGTTGTACAGCCTTGGTAAATTATTGATGGACAGTGTTGCAGGATGGGGCTTTGTCTATTAATGCTGCTTGGATGTGGGTCTGTGACTGACTGCCTCTTAGCTGGATTGGGCTGTCTTTTAGCTGGATTGACCTGTGGATTGGACTGTCTGTTAGCTGGATCGGGCTGTCTGTTAGCTGGATGTATGGGGATGTCTCTTTGCTGGATATATGGGAGGTGTCTCCTTGCTGGATATAGGGGAATGTCTTCTTACTGGATATATGGGGGGTGTCTCCTTGCTGGATATATGGGGATGTGTCTTTGCTGGATATATGAGGGATGTGTATTTGCTGGATATATGAGGGTTTGTCTCCTTGCTGGATATATGGGGGGTGTCTCCTTGCTGGATATATGGGACATGGCTAGTTGCTGGATATATGGGGATGTCTGTTTGCTGGTTATATGGGGGATGTGTCTTTGCTGGATATATGGGGGTGTCTTCTTGCTTTATATATGGGGGATATCTCTTTGCTGAATTTATGGGGGATGTCTCTTTGCTGGATATATGGGGGGTGTCTCCTTGCTGTATATATGGGGGATATCTCTTTGCTGGATATATGGGGGGGTGTCTCCTTGCTGGATGCATGGGACATATCTCTTTACTAAATATATGGGGCATGTCTCTTTGCTGGATATATGAGGATGTCTCCTTGCTGGATATATGGGGCATGTCTATTGGCTGGATTTATGGGGATGTTGCTTTGCTGGATATTTAGGGAATGTCT